AAAGTAGCTTTTGTGTCATCAGCGTATAGTCTATATGTCGTGCATGCCTGACAGTGCTCACTTTGATGAGAAAGTCGTAATGGGGAGGCGGCATGGCGACGAGGTGAAAGTGCTAAGCTAAAGGCACGTCCAATTGACACATACCGACATTAACGATATACTTAGCTGATGTCGCATAATGAGTAACTGCCAAACTTACAGGTGCTGGTGGATGAAGCAGTCGTGGTGTGGGACCTGTTCCGCTTTAACGCCAGACCACCACGGACAGGGCGCTTAATCGATGATATTTGGCCTTGTAGACAGCCTCCTGCCTCATTGGAGAACCATAATGTCTGAAGACAACTTCGTCCCCTTCACGCCTCGTTTTGCAGAGCTCAAACGTTCTTTGATACCGCCCGAGAACGAACCCAAACTCCAAGAGTCATGGAATAGCCTTTTGGGTGCCCTTAAAGCCCGCACTAAGGAAATCGAGGAGGCTGGGCCTTCAGCAAGTTCACGTGCTTCAGACCTGCATACTCGTTAACAATGTCTGCAGATCATTCCACAAGTAGACTTCTCCGCTATATCTTCCCTGGACCCCGTCAAGATTGCCGAAATTAAACGAACTGGTTGTGTAGTAGTTCGGGGTGTTATTGACGAATCCACCGCTACGGGCTACAGGCAGAGCCTAAAGGACTACGTGCAAGCCAACCCAAGTGTCAGAGGTTATCCCCCTGAGAAGAAACAATTCTTTGAAATTTAGTAGGCCCCGTTCTACTTTCTGCTAACATTAGTTAATCGTCTCTAGTTGGTCTGAGTCCCAGCTTCGAGCTCGATCCCATCCAAACGTTGTCGCTACTGCTGCCTGGCTCAATACCCTCTTCCACGCGAGCGAAAGTTCGGCCGTCAGTTTATCTAGTACCCTCGTGTATGCGGATAGGTTTCGCATGCGAGAGCCTGGTGTACTATGGACACTCCACTCCCCTCACATTGATGGTGTGCCCTAATGCCACCGGCGTTTTACCGCACTTACTCATCTTATACAGGCGGGAGCATTGAGAAATGGGAAGACCCGATTCTCAGGAAATGCTTTGATACCATCCTGGCAGGTGATTGGGGCAAATACGATCCCTTCGACTTTACACATAGGCTAGAAGGCAACACTGATATGTATAATCGCCCAAATCAGGTGTGTTTTTATTCAGAGGCTGAGCCGATTGCTCATCACACTTGAATCTAGTCATCGGTATTTCGTACCTGGCAAGGGTGGCTAGCCATGTCGTTCGTACCTCGCATCACTCCGGAGGACTCTATTGCTGACCGTCAAGACAGGTCTACCGCGCCTGGTGAAGGTACCATCCGGTTCTTCCCAGACCTCACTCTTTTGACCGCATATATTATACTCCGACCGTTTTTTAAGCCTGTTGATGGTGACTCCAACAAGTGAGTGTTCTGTGATGAGTCGTGCACACATCAACCAACTATCTTTACTAGCCTCGACTCGTCCAACTGGACTATTGATGTAGCCGGTTCGCCGGATTTCCATGGGCTCCGCAGAGAATTGAACTCGTTCGGAAAGGAAATGTTCACGTCGCTGCGAGCCAGCCAAGAGTCCCACCCTCACCTCAGAGTGGACCAGACCATGACTAGCGCGCCCCGGGTCAACCCAGGTGACATGGTGTGTATACATGTTTTTTCGCCGGCTATTTTACCATTAAAGTGACTGAGACAGGTCTTCTGGCATTGTGATCTGCTTCATTCGGTTGAAACCGAGCACAAGGGTACCGGGGTCTCCTCGGTGATGTACATCCCAGCCGTCCCGTAAGCACATTCATGTTTGAATTGTATCAATGATGATGATAATCTATCTATCAATAGCTTAACCTTGCCGAATGCCAAATATGTAGCCGCTCAACGAGACGCATTCCTAGCGGGAAAACCTCCTCCAGACTTTCCTCAACATGACGGCCAAGGAGAGAGCGGATATGTTAACAAGGGGCGGGAGGAGCATATAACCAGCCCAGAAGGCAGATGTGCGATGGGTCTTAAACCGTTTGATACTTCGGCACCTTCTCTTACTGCGTCCGAGAAGGATGTTCTGGCCAAGGCCAACTCGATCTTTGGGCTGGCAACTTGACACCAAATTGAGCATGTACAACCTGAATTATCCGAAATATATGCTAGAATATTGAAGCGAATATCCGATAAGCGCTCGCTTGCAAGATTCATGCGGCGTCAAAAGATCCCGAGTCTCTTCTACATCCACCGGCTCTGGGAACCATGTCGACATCCAACCGCACGAAGTTCACTATCGGCTCCCGGGGCTCACAGCTCGCTCGTGTTCAAGCAGAGCTGATTCAAAGCACTCTTGGCACGCTTCATCCAGAGAAAACTTTTGACATACACTACTTGACCACTGAAGGTGACCGAAACCAATCGCAATCGCTGTATCTTCTTGGGGGCAAAGCTATGTGGACAAAAGATCTCGAAGTGGCGCTGTTTGATCGCCAAATCGATATGATCGTGCATAGTTTGAAAGACGTCCCAACGTTGCTACCAGAAGGGGGAGAAATTGGTGCTATAACCCAGCGGGAGGACCCACGAGATTGTCTCGTGGTAAAAGATGGTCTACCGTATAAGACACTCGAAGAGCTACCCGAAGGAACAGTTGTGGGAACGAGTAGCGTGAGGCGTGTTGCGCAACTGAAGCGGAACTTTCCACAGCTGGTGTTTAAGGATGTGGTAGGTCGTATAAATTATCACATACATTCAGTACTAACTCAACACAGCGAGGGAATATGTTTGTATATCTTATTACTTTGCTTAATTGTACTTACTTGGTGTTGGCAGTGATACCCGCCTGCGGAAACTTGATGACCCAGAGGGGCCTTATTCTGCGATCATCCTTGCACGTGCCGGACTCGAGCGACTCGGACTTGGCGCACGAATAACATCTACCCCTGGAGCACCTACTCTACTACATGCGGTTGGCCAGGGTGCGCTGGGGGTTGAGATCCGGGCGGACGATGCAGAGACTCGAGAACTCCTTGCTCAAGTTGAGGATTGGCGTACAGCTTGGTCATGCAAGGCCGAACGAGCTTTTCTGCGAGTCTTGGAAGGAGGATGTAGCGTCCCAGTCGGTGTCACCACTATGCTGGAGGAGCACGAAGGTGATGCAACCGAGGGTGCTGGGGTCCAGAACGAAGGTGCCGGTGGGGCAAGTGGAGGCGAAAGTGTGAAATCTGTGCCAAAACCTTCGAAACTCACTTTGACTGGCACGGTGACGGCTTTGGACGGATCGAAGCATGTGCAGCATACTGTCAGCACTGTGGTGTCGTCTGCAGAAGAAGCAGAGGAGGTTGGGCGAGATGTGGCAAAAACCCTGATCAACAGTGGGGCCAAGGATATCCTCGACGCTATCAACCGCGAGCGAGACGCGAGGGTGCAGCGGGAACGTCAAAAGGATGCAGAACGGGCACTGCGACCCGAAGAGGCGGACGAAGACGACCTAAAGCGAAAGGCGCCTGCTGTGTCCAAGCCCAGCGAGGGGTCATCGGATGAACCAAAGAGTAGTGAATGACATAAAGTGTACATCAGCTGACAAATACATGTTTCGATCTCTCACGGATAATCGCTTGCTCTTGACCATCACGCCTCGGTTGCTCCCTGCGAGCGTCCTAGTACTCTCGGCTGCCTATTGTATCATAACCTTTACCATGCCTCAGCCCTCTTCGCACACACCACAGCCTCCGGTCTTGTTCTCATTTAGTTCGAGCCCCGCCCTGGTGGACTCTTTGGCCGAGTTCATCGTTAAGTCGCAGACTGAGGCGATTGAAAAGAGGAAGAAGTTTACCGTGGCTCTTTCGGGTGGTTCGCTTCCAAAAATGCTAAAAGGCTTGATTGGACGTAAAGACATTCCATGGGACCAGTGGTATGTGTATGCGTTTGGTAGCAGACCTTTAACTAAATACTGGTCAAGGTACATTTACTTTGCCGATGAACGCCTTGTCTCGCTTGATCACGAAGACTCGAACTACGGGCTATGCAAGAAAGAGTTCTTGTCTCACGTTCCAATCCCAGAGAAGAATATCCACACTATCAATACCTCGATCCTTGACGACGCGGAAGAGGTGGCGGACCAATACGAAAAGATTCTCATCCAAGAGTTCGCGCAAAAGGATTCGGCACGGTTCCCAGTATTCGATCTTATCTTGCTCGGGATGGGGCCAGATGGACATACATGCTCGCTGTTCCCTGGGCACGAGCTACTCAGCGAAGGCGATCGCTGGATTGCTCCAATCGAGGACTCTCCCAAGCCTCCTCCGCGCCGTATCACCTTTACTTTCCCTGTATTGAATCATGCTTCACGATGTGTCTTTGTGGCCTCCGGCGAAGGTAAACAGGAGATGCTAAAGGACGTTCTTGATCACCCAGAAAAAGGCCTTCCGTGCTCTCGTGTCCGGCCGATCTCTCCCGGCCAGGTGTATTGGTTTGTCGATGATGCTGCTTCAGCTCGGGTAGAGTATACCAAAACCTCATTCAAGTTGTAATCATGGCGTATGCTCTTAAATAAATGCAATGGCAATGAAGTGGTGTCCGCGGTCGGGGTTATCACCTTATTTCGCGCCCTAACTCCTTTAGGCGTGTGGCAAGATTGACCTGTTGCTCATTTTAGAACCTATCCAAACTATCTGTCTACATGCAAGAATATCTATGATAATGTTTAGTATTTCGCTGGCGACACACATCTGGCACATGAACTTGATATTTGCTTGTGGCCGAACGCTCGTTGGTAATAAGGCCGATGAAGTAGGGTCTCGTGTATGCATTGATATATTAGCTAGAGACACTGCATACACTTTGGGTGTGAATTCTTACATGGTCGTCATACAAAATGACTAGTCGAAGTTTCCTTTGGTGGACTAAACAAATGACCAGCACATTCTATAGAGATGTTGGCGTAGATAGAGCGCCCGATAGGCACTTGATCTAATGTGTGGCGCCAAGTTACAAAAGTATAATGACGACTGCGAGATTCGAACTCGCGCTCCGAAGAACCAGATCCTTAGTCTGGCGCCTTAGACCGCTTGGCTAAGTCGCCTTGTGACCAGATTCGTCACAATGATTACAAGCGCTGAAGCACAGCCACATTCAGCCTGCGGAATTCTGACACGTGAATATATCTTGTTTCTCACCTTCTGCTGGATCCTTCAGCTATCACTTGATGCAATTTTATTATGAATATCGCCTATTATATTGAACCTGCTGTGCTACTGCCTACTATAGCGCTTTTTTGGCTTCTATTTCATAGACAAAGGTCGCCTGTCCGTCGTTCTATTGCTGTCTTGGTACTAGGTGATGTTGGAAGAAGTCCACGTATGATGTACCATGCCCAGAGCTTGGCAGAAAATGGGTTTGAAACATATCTGATAGGCTATTCTGGCGAGTTTTCCGCTTGCCTGTCCGAGACGCGTTTGCCACTTACACTAACTACAGGTTCCACACTAATCAAAGCATTGAGAGAACTTCCCAAAGTGGCAATGTTACCCCTCATGCCTCCGCCAAAATTCATTTCTTCGCTGCCCCGACAATTATTCATCGTTGCAGCTCCCCTAAAGTTGGTCATTCAGTCCATTTCGATTCTTTGGACACTGCTTGTGAGCATCCAAGCTCCGGAATACGTCATGATTCAGGTAGGGTATCTCTTTTCGACTACGAATGTGATGTTGATGTTGATATAGAACCCACCTTCAATTCCTACTCTCATACTGGTTCAATTTGTTTGTTGGTTTCGTGGTTGCAAGCTAGTCATAGATTGGCACAACCTGGGATATAGCATTTTGGCTTTGCGTCTCGGCGCGAAACACCCCCTTGTAAAAGTTGCGAAGCTGTGAGTCTTATCGTACATCTCTTGCATTGTCCTCACAATTCTAGGATCGAGCGCACATTCGGACGGCACGCATACTTACACATTTTCGTTACTGACGCAATGAAGAATAAGCTAACCGAGGAGTGGAGGCTGACGTAGGTCATTCGATTGCAGAACGAGTCGGCTACTCATTTCTTGTAGTGGAGAAACACTGACATTACATGATCGGCCTCCATCTCACTTCCGACGATCCAACCCAGCTGAAATACATGATGTGAGCAAGAGCAGCAACACCATTTTCATTGTCTCACTTGTATCAGGTGTTTAGCCGCCTTCAGCCATCGTTTCCACCATCCGTCAAGTCTTTCCTGCCCGAATCACAGACACCCAGGTCTTCAGGATTCACAAGGATTGCCTCGTTCTCGGCCGGATACGACCCTATATATGCTGTATCGCCCGGCGTGATTCTCCGGGAAGATCGACCCGCGCTCCTAGTTAGTAGCACTTCGTGGACCCCTGACGAAGATTTTTCGATCCTACTCGATGCACTCACCAAATACGAGCAACGGGCAAAATCAGGCGGATTGCCCAAGCTCCTCGCCTTGATCACAGGCAAGGGCCCACAAAGGAACTATTACATGACCGAGGTCGCACGACTGGAAAAACATCAAAATTGGGAATGGGTTCGATGTGCTAGTGTTTGGTTAGAGCCAGACGACTACCCGGTTTTGCTTGGTTGGAGCTCCACAAGGCTTTTCATATCCTTATTGACTTGACGTTGTAGGTTCGGCGGACCTGGGTGTGTCACTACACAGTTCATCGTCGGGTCTGGACCTTCCGATGAAAGTCGTGGACATGTTCGGATGTGCTCTCCCAGTATGCGCCCTTGATTTCGAATGGTAAGTCTATATTTCGTTTATTTCGTTTATGTGTGAACCAACACAATACATCAGCCTCGACGAGCTCGTCCAGCATGGCGTGAATGGACTAAAATTTAAGAGCGCGGTTGAGTTGGTAGAACATATTACGGTGAGGTTATATGCATGATGCCAGGACTGGTCCTAACCTGAATACAGAATTTGTTTTCGCAATTTCCCGAGACAAACCGACTTGATGCACTTCGTCAAGGATTGAATAAACGAAGTCATATTTCCACTCCTTCTGGTATGAGTAGTGAGGGTAAACATCTCTGGAACGATTGGACGGATAATTGGAACGCCTTTGTCCGTCCTATTCTGTTGCATGATATTGATCACACCACGCGCCACGCCCTCAACACTCTTTCCGAGCGCTCTGTTTCACAACGTCGATAGTATTCAGATCTATTATAAATATAATACGGCTTAAGCAGTGGCAGCAAAGCTAAGTGTCTCAATTCGACCAGATCCCTTCAGCTCCTTGTCAGACTGGACAAGGTCGGTCAGCACTCGAAATTGCCCAGGATCAATCAGCATTGTCTGCCAAATGATTAGACGCATTCAATCAATAGTAACCTAACTTACCACCTCCCACTCGTCGCCCCAAACGTCGTCCTCCACTTTCTCCGCAGACTCCAATACTTTATCTTTGAGTCGTTTCCCATCTTCCGAGGGCATGGTTATCCTGATACGCATACGCGCCCGTTGGATAGGAAGGGTCGAATGACTCTGCAAGTGCTTGATGCATTCGAGGACCTACGGAGACGTGAGAAAGACATCACTTGCTAAATGACAGCTCTCACTTGAGCTTTGGCATTCTTGCCAGTCTTGATACTAAATCCTGCTTCGGTCATGGCCTTCTCAATAATTCCAACGGGGTAGGGCCTCTGTGTTGCAGGATCAACACATTTCTCCGCCACCTGAGTTGCAATTTCCTTCCAGAGCTGCGAAGACTCGTGTGCTCGCTCCTGGTCCCCAACCTGTAACTCTCCTTTTTTCAATATCTGTGTAAGTCGAGTCAAGTCAGTTGGTAAAGGCTCATCAAATATAGTTGTAAATCACCTCTTTGACGATCTCAGATATTTCCGTCTTTCCAAACGCTTTTTGGAGTTCACTCGAGTTGCACGCTTGCCCTTTGGATACGTTCGAGAATACGTTGTTGATTTGTAGCACTTCGTCCAAGTCCGTCTCTCTGGAATCCGGCGTGAGAGGGTTGTGGCGCCACTACAGCGTGCCAACTCACACTCCATTCCTCCATTCCTGTACTTTGTTTTTGTAACATGCAATCTGGTAAAATATGAGTGCAATAAAACTTGGGTTGAGCATTAAAGGCTTACTTCGAATCTCTTTCCCCCTTCTTTAACCGAACGACAGAGACATTAGTCAGTCTGGAAATGTGTGAGTATCCCACAGTATATAATCTCGACATACTCACTTGATCTGGTTCGCAGGCTGGTTCACCCTCATGATGGTTATCGTATATGAGTGAAGGAGATGGTGGTCGGCGAGAGTATGACGCCGTTGACTTTTTATTGATTCATGGGCATAGCCACGTGCATGCCGCTTACATCGACTCCGAGCGAGATGACTGAAATAAAATAAAAAATCCGGCTAACTTTGGATACACTGTGAATACATAGTGGTATATTGCATTACAGATTATAGCTTTATGAAGCTTGTGTCCAACCCGAAACTCAAGTCCCAAATACATATTTTCTGTGGGGATAAAATATCAGTCAAGCTCATGCACAAAACGGCTAACTCACCTGATCTTCACCACAAGACACAATCTAAGAAACCAAATAAATCAGTGTCGGCACACCAAGTAATCTATCAACCGACCTTGGTGCTGTCAAACACAACTCCAAAGACTCGTCCGGTGTGTCCGCCCGTCAAGTCCGCTAAAAGGCCACCAGTCTGCCTATCCCAGACCTTGATCGTCTCATCATAGCTGCCACTGACTACAAATTCGCTGTTCATCGAGACGGTGCGAACCAAGTCCTTGTGTCCTACTGGTTGTTTGCCGACCGTTCCCGCTCCATTGCACGACTGACAGATAGTACCTGAAGCGACAGGCAACGGTGTCGCTTGGAAAGGCACATAATCAATAAAATTCGACCCGGAAGTGAGAGACGGGGGGAGATTTTCTGGAAGTTCGGGTAGGGGAGACCGGGTAGTATCACAGCAAGTAGACCAGCCTTCACGGGTTTGAAGGTTGAACACGCGAACATGCTTGTCGGATGAGCCAGAGACAATGTATGGGGGGTGGAAATCGATAGAAGCGATGCTGAATGGCCAACTTAGTTGGAGAATGAGACACTATCGTAGCTGCTCACCCCCTAGAGTGCCAACCCTCAAGGGAAGCAATAACGACCCCTTTTACCGTATCCCATATTCGAACACTCCGATCACCAGAGGCGGAAATGACAAACAGCCCATCTGGGGACAGTGACAAAGCGTTGACCGCAGCGCGATGTGACACTAACGTGTGGGTCAATCGAAGGTCGGGCAAGGAATAAATGCGCAGATGGCGGTCTAGAAATGGCAAGTTAGAACTATCTCTACTATCCTAAATCAAATCTGCTAACCTTTTCCACACGCAACCACTGTCTGAGCACTCGCCCTTACACACAGTACACTATCATCGGTGTCTTGACGAGTTGTGTGCACACTTCCATCGATCAGATTCCAAACCACGATTTGGCCATCCGACCCCCCAGTAATCATCCACTTTCCTGCCACCGCCAGGTTTAGCACGCTTCCAAAGTGTGCTCCCCTGAAACACCGCACAGGACGCGAAACGCGCAGGTCCCATTCCAGTATCGTACAGTCTCGAGATCCTGTGAGCAGGTACTGCTGGCCCGAGGAAGGATGAGTGTACAGGGCGAGGCAATATATCGTCGAGGAATGGCCTTGAGGGATGTCGATATTCGGGACCGGGTTGCGCATTGGCAACGGCAGCACTGTCATACGGAACGACGCAGTCCGCATGCGGGAATTAAGTTGAGTATGCGTTTGGTGCAGTAGCTTGTAGTTGGGGCTGAGCAATGCGGGGGAGTTGACGATCGTAGATAACACTCGACTATGAATCAGAGAACCCGGCTTGTCAAATCTTGACAGCGCAAGACCAATCTGCTGTATGGACGTTGGTCGATGGTGCAGCCCAGGCATGACAAGAGAAGTCTCCGAAAGCATAGAGACGAAACCAGAATCATGCACTCGAGTGCGAAATCCACTAGAAGGTCGGGCAATCACTGAAGTATCCATAGAATACTCTGCCTCTTCTTCGCCAACCCCCTCATCGACGTCAAGGTC